ACGAGGCTTAAAAGTTATTGAACTTGAGATTAGTAAACTTTACTGTAATTGGTTAAATTTCAATCTAATCCCAATCCCAATCCGTAGTGTGACACGGGCTTAAAGCCCGCTGCAGACGATGCTACTTTTCCTGCCGGATTGCTTGCAATCTAGGATCTGTTTTTTATTGCTGCACTCCTGAACTAGTGCACACTGGTGCAATGAGTTGGAATGAGAGGTAATCTATTTGTTTCATTTTAACTTATTGCACTAGTTCAGTAGTGCAGTAATAAAGAACAGGCCTCTAATAAATTACTATCATTGCACCACTCAGCACTCAGGATTTCTAGAAAGCACTCCGTATCTATAAAGTCTATGGTCTATGGTAGACACTTTTAACTAGATGCTCATGAGCGCCTCGGTAGATGGCGCGCATTAACAAATACATTCTCACACCGCGTCTCAACGAGAGAGAGAAACAGAGACAGAGAGAAAGGAGAGACACGCTACAATTGCGAGAGGTGCACTTACCTATTTCGGAGAGGAATAAATGCTGGAAAACCGTTTGCCAAATTTTTAATCAGCAAGTCAGTACGCTGGTATTAACCCCATGCCAAGAGACAAGCGCAATAACTCGTGTAGCGAGCGACTCAAACCCGGAGTGCCGTGCGTTGTCTAGAGGAGTCCAACGGGATGTCGCTACACGAATAACATTGTATTCCTTATTTACGTGAAAACGCAGCCAGAGCAGAGCCGGCCGCTCGAACGCAGCGATACCGAGAATATATTTTGGAAGGTGGCCCCTTATTGTTCCAAGAGAGTTCGCCGTAGTAAGTAAGATGAACGAGCTTTCCCTTCCTATCGGAGACGCTCGTGTTGTGGAATGACGCGCCGCGATATTTAGTCGGTCGGCGCGAAGGCAGTCAGTTCGATACTGAGGAATCAAGATAGTGGAGAAGAGCGTCGAAACGCGCGGCTACAAAGACAAAGAAGGGAAAACATTTATTGCCTTAAGAGGATGGACGTTTCCGGCAATTAAGTGCAGAGCGTCACACGCGCCAGCGTCGAATCTGTACTCTATCGGCACAAAGGTATTGCTCCATTTAACGTTTACCCCGTGTGTGCTTATCATCGTTAATGAAATATCGATTCCAAATTGATCGAATAGTCCGATCAAGGAGATCTGCTTGGGAAGTAATGCGTCGAGAGAGAAACATTGTGTTTGCACGTTTATGTATAATAGAGGGGACGTCCCCTAATAGCAGTGTTCCTGCTGGAGTAGGCATCATCTGTTGGCTCCACCGTGAATTTATTGCCCTTGGGGTGAAGTCTGTTCGGTGGAAAATTCATTGTTAGATCGTGTAATCATGGCGAAAAGAAAGATTTGTTCGATTCGACTTGCGAAAAGAAAGATTGTGTTCGATTCGACTTGCGAAACAGTACGGCTGCTTCTTGTGAAATGTCAAAGACAGACACCGGGATAGACAATCCACCGACTACCGAGACACGTTTGACAATACGAGTCCGCAACCGCAGACTCGTGCACTCACTCTGTTTCGGTTAAACGAATTACGCTGCTTCGACAACTATAGACCACATTCGAAAAGGACCCGATTGAGAGGTCGAACCCACACAGCACCGAAGCTTTCAGAAACATTGCAACGTTGCAACAATGTTTTCTGAAATGTTTCTGAAAGCTTTGGTGCTATATGGGAAATCGAATAAAGATCACTTTCTTGCCAGTTTGGTCGACTTGAAAAATATTCTCTATTTGTGTTTGAACTTGGAAAAATACTGTCCGATAACAGGGGACTTTCCTCCACGTGTGTGCACACATACGTACGTTATCTTAGCATCACATATATTTAACGCAGCGTCTCAAGACGTTAGAAGTTGATCGATCGCTGCTGAATGCAACCGCGACTGGTTATTTTCTTATGTCTTAAGATCTCATTGTGGCCATCACGTTATACTTGGAGGAAATGTTGTCTTTAAAACACGCGGACAGCCTAAAGCCACAATAAGCCATAATCCACAATGTGATCTCTGCGTCTAGAAACTTTCCGTTTTGTAGCCGATAAATACGTATAAAAAATCTGCGCGAGTTAATAGATTGCATATTATACATCGTGTAATTGTGCATTGTTAACCAATTTTTTTTTAAGCGTTTTGATTCGTTTATATAAAACAGAATGTTTCTAGACGCAGAGAGCACATTGTAGATTAGATTAGGCTTTCACGACTTCCAACGAATTTATCTCGGTTTTGAAACCAATTGTACGACAAACAAGAACAAACAAGACTGTACAGCTTTCCGCTTCGATTTGGTTGCGTAGTAATCAAGTTTATGATTTTTCATTGTGTAGAGAGATTGTGCAGACTAATAAGACCATATATTTGTCTGTTAGGTGCATTAGGACATTACTAGCCAGCTTAAGCTTTGCGGAGTTACAAAGTTTCCAATAATGTTTTCGTCAGGCCTTAACTGCAATCTCTCCTTCCCCAGCTGCTTGGGTTATCCGCAAGATAGCGAGGAATTGATCCCAAAAATGGCACGTGAGCCAATCATTCTTAATGTTTACGACATGGTAAGCCGCCACCTCCAATGTAGAACAAATAAAGGACATTATTGTGATTACATTATTGCGATTTTTGTTTTATGGGAGAGAGAGTTCGATCTCGTTCCACTTTGGTTCTGATCTCGTGTCGGAATAAGAGCGCCTTTTCCCGAAAGGGAAAGGGTTGAATGTGCGCTCATACAGCACTGCATTTTATTATGAATCGCTTGTCACTGTCATTCGATGGTTTTTTTTTATAAATTTAGTTGCGATTAGTTGGTCTTTTGTAGAAGCCAAACATTGTTCTATTCGTGAAAAAATATACAGTTGTAAAGCCCGTGTTGGACCACAGATGTGGATTGTGGATTGGAGATTAGTATTTTATCGGTTGGAACGAGGCGAAGCGCAGTTATCTAACAATGAGCTGGCTACTCGAATTCCAATCTTCAATTCACGATCCCCGCACGTAATCTGATGTGGGCTTTGGGTGACCATTTTCAGTTGATGTAATTCAGTTTATGTGGAATGTTGTAGTATTGGATAAATGAATACACCACGCCTATCGGTCTCGGAGTATTTCATTCTGGAGTGGAAATATATGGGACAGGTATGTACCACGTTCAGAGTTTGAGTACGAGGAAATAAGAATTCGACGGACGTACATTTCTGCTACAGAGTACGCGTACGGTGGTCATGCTCAACCAAAAAGCGGCATTTTCGAAATCACCCCGAGAGTGGCTGAAGAATTAGGCGAGCAGTTTAGATATAGGTAAAGTTTATGTTTGTTCGTTTTTTTTTTCAGGTATAAATTAAGCGTCTATCTATTCTCTATTTATTTTGCAGACAATCCGTTCACATTGGGTATACGGATTTCACGGAAGAAGATGTCTCGAGAATTATTACGGAATTAGGCAAAGATTTTAGAGGAGACCGCTATCATTTGATGAATAAAAACTGCAATCACTTCAGCAGTCAGTTCACGTTGGTGCGTTGCTTTCCGTAATATTGATCAAGTAAATTGTGCGAAAAGTATAATGAAAATTAATGTATTTCAGATTTTATGTGGGCAGGAAATACCCGGTTGGGTAAATCGTCTGGCGTATTTCAGTTCGTGCGTACCGTTCCTCCAACGTTGCTTGCCAAAAGAATGGCTGACGCCTGACGCTTTACAACACTCTCTAAGTCAAATTAGTCATCACGAAAGTACACCACCATCAGACACTTCGTTGTAACATTTGGCAAACACTGTTGAAATGCACGGTCTAAAATGCCGTAGAAGTTATACATTTTAGATAATTAAACTCTGTGAAAAGAAATATTAATTAGGACTGACTATATTGCCAAGATTTGAAACAACCTGAGAAACTAAACCGTCAAGACAAGGTACAAATTTCATATTGTACACTTGAATGCGACTGCTAACAATTAGTACCGAAAAAAAAAATTGCCTTCGCTGCAACACGTTGTTTCCTAAGGCGGCGATCCACGAGGTCGCATGTGTTCTTTGTTGAATAATACAGTCGAGATATGATAGTTACATAATGAATAAATAATTACGCATAAATTTCAACCGTAATGAACAGAAAACTCATTTGCCGATGACAGAAAAAGAAACTTGTTACGTTAGCAAGACATACAGTAAAGTTAATTTTTTTTACAAAGATGCTTATTTCTTATGCTTGTAAAACTGTAAAGCAATATGTTTAAAGTATAACGTATGCACGTCAAAGAGATAAATATATGTTGTATCTAATGTATATTGTATACAAAATGGTTTAAGCATTTAATAATTGCATTTAATAATGTAATTGATTTCTATAAGTAACTTGACAAAACACATACACGCACACACCCGTACTTACACAGATAAAAAGCTGAAGGTAAACAAGCTTTCGTATTTTCAAAACTATATATTACTTTTAATCAGCCGAATCTCCACATAACTTTGATTTTAGCTCTTACGCTTTTTTTATTATCACTTGGTTCATATTGTTCTACCGATTATATATACATGACGTTTCTATGTATGTAGATCAAACCAGTGAGATACAAGTAAATATTGAGGAGTAAGTTAAAAATAGAAGACCTGCAGTTTCTCAATGAGTTAAGAATATAGGGGTTCAAAATAGTTGATTATGAAATATAAGAACAAATACCTTTAATAAAATTTAAAACAATAAATGTATAGTTTTTATCGAATAAGCGAAATTCCCAATTTTAGTTTATACAAAATATATTGGAATAAACAAGTAACGATAAAGTAAAGAAAAAGAGGAAAGATTTCTTTTTTTATCAATTTGGAATCTACCTTTTATCAACAAAAATATAGAGATAAAATGTTAGTTTTTGGATTGTTAAAGCCAAGTTTCGAAAGATCAAATAGATATTAAAATTGTACTGTCTAATCGCAAATTGACACTATTTATAGGCTTTTAATTTGAAAGATAATTAAACAGATATCGATATATATTTATATATAATATTGATTTTAAAGGTATGCTGGATTATATGTATCCTCCGTATTAAAGAAATAGCTGTTCGAACTTTTTTTCAACCAAACTTGATCTGGACATCATAAAAATTTAACTCATTTTAAGTTTTCCACAAGATAAGACATCTAAATGGGTTACCTAAATATCAATGTCAATCTGTAATTTCGATATAATTAAGATTTATGATATAATCTCGTTAAATTTTGGCATTTAAAGTGAGAAATTGTGTAAACCTTTTTCTTTCATTTGAAGTAAATTACAATTGGATCTCTTGATAATTCAACTTTGTCGTTACAACAATCGATATAAGGAAGAGAAGCTTTAATAATATGTTGCGTTTATTAGTCTAAACAGTTCTACAATGCTAATATAAATAGCCTTTCAGATATTTCGTCTTGTAAAATAAAAATGTCCCTTCTCTTTACTAAACGTATTTCTATGTTTCGTTTTTTTATTTAGTCATACATATGCGCGCGCGCTTACACACGCGCGTACACACATACACACACACGCGCGCGCACGCGCGATTAATCATGATTGCTATAGTAAAAGAAGGAACTTTTTTTCTTGCGATTTATTATATTTGTAATAAAAATTTATGTTATAACTAAGTAAAAATAAGTATTTATAATAATGTATTTAATATGTGAAGATGTCGGAATCTAATCGGCGCTATACGATGCATTACTTGCATAAATGTTCTCTTTAGTACTTTGAATAATCTTGAACCGTTTGAGATCTTCCATTTTACATTATTATTGAGTTCGAACTTAATAATGTCAAATGTAGCACTAATTTGTAATTTCATACAAGATTAAGTATATTCTGAATAAAAAATAAGGTACTAGAGGAATATACAACCCCTGTAATGGGTACAATCCATGTATGGTTTTTATTACTTACAATTTAAATTTAAATTAATAGTAACGCAATATTCGGTGTGTTTCACAGTGCTTTCATTTGAATATTATTACAACATGACCTAATATAATAATTTTATATTGACAAATTTGATGTAAATTTCGAAAAATACACGCGCGCACGCACACACATACACAATTTACTGAATTTTTAAATAATTTTATGTTTACCAACATTTTAAATTATAATATAGAGAGCTTAGACTTTTTACCTTTATTTAACTTACATTCATCGATTACATTTATGTCATAAATTTATTTTGGTTAGTATCGAACTTTTGTATTAGTTCTAATATACGATCGTATAAAAGAGTTTTCACGTCGATTGCCCACACGAAATCCACGTGATTGAAAAGTTGATATGGGACTTTCTCCGTTAGAAAAACGTTCGGTAAACGTTTGCTAAGTTCCAGCACATTCTAAAAGTAAAAAGATGAAGAAAGCAACAATATTAATAAAGAGATGATTTGAATGTATGAAGAATAGAAAACATCATCAAATTGATATAAACCAATGGTTTTTCTTTTACATTTTGCATTGTATTTAATTGGAATTCGTCTTAAGAACTATATTATTATCATTTTGTCGTACTTATAAAAATTTTTCCTTTGCTCTTAGTAGTGAGTAAAAAAATCTGGTAATTAAAAACTATTACCTCTTCTTTAACAACCATGTCATTTCCTGAGTAAAACAAAGCTATCGGGGCAGTAATCTTTTTAAGATCATAACTCGGGGGTGTTTTCTGTTTGTATCGCTTATAATTTTCAGCCTCTCCATAATCGTATTTTTGAAAATTACCTGCAACAATCGATATGAATTATACATTTATAAAGATCCAAAACTTAAGTACATTTGAAAAAAAAGTTAAATAATTACACATGTGTAAATTAATCTGCAGAAAATGATAAATTAATTTAGATCTTCCCATGATTCAACGATGTCTAAACGGCAAGAAATGTGTTTTACTGTAATATTACATCGACGGGAATATTACTTTATAAAAGGAAATACTTTGATTTTCACTGAAACAAAAATTTTCGCTACCGCAGCTAATCGTGGTTTGCTAAAAATTTTTACTGCCATAACTACAACTTTCTAAACCACAGCAAACGGTTTGCTGTCGCACCTAATACCAAATAGGCACAGTAGCAAAATATTCAGCTGTCACAATTAAATAAGTTAAAAATTGGTTATTAGCTGTCCATATGTTACAACTGAAATTTAGTTACCACGTGCAGTTTTTAGCTACGACAGCTATATTTTTCTTTCCGTGTTGGAAGGGAGTATACTCACTTGTACGTATATTTTGGTAATAATGCTCGAATGTTTGAACAGAAGCACCGGCTGGAAGATAGGATAATAATTCTGGCAGGGTGGTCTAGAACAGAAATCATTTCTATAGACGAACAATCATAAATCGACTAATTAGCAGAAGAGGGTACGGAGTGGTTAGAGCCATATATATATTAAATTTATATAATTGTAAAAATAATTATAAATTTATATAATTACAAAAAATACAAATTATAAAAATTTAGAAAATTCATATAATAATACAATATAATAAAAAGCAGTATTTAGGTAAATTAACAACATCGTATTACGTTTGGCTTTTGCGTTGTGTACGGAACAACTTACAGTATTAAGTTGTGCTGGATCAGGACCGACGATCAGAAAGGCTATAGTGACGCAAATAATTTGAGTCACCGCATTGTCATTACATAACATTCTTGCTATCATAACAGTCGTTAACGATTGTGGGAAAACATCATATATTCCACGCTGTTGTAGAACTTCCTGGAACGTATAAAAAAGTTATGCAAGTAATAGCTCATAATAGCTAATGATATTTTGAACACAGTAAATAATAAAAATAATCATTGTTTAATCTTGTATTTTAAACACTAGCGTTTGCAATAAAAAGTGGCAGATTTTGGCAGTTACCTTCAACGTTGGAAGAATGTTAGCTATTTCGGTAAATGTAGGTGTTACTTTCGTCCAAAAAGCAACTGGAGCCAGGCCAATAGCCATTTTTAATTTCATATTGTACTCCGGTTTTGATGACAGAAGAGCAAATAACGAAGTCGTTCCCATTGAATGACCGATATAATATAGATCTTTTTGCTTTGTATAATTGAGAATGTAATCAAACATGGCTGGAAAATCTTTTGTCCCAATCTCGTGAAAACTGTGAAATAAGAATTGTATTTTACAAAACATATTTTTTCGTTTCCTTTCTCTACCTTGATAAGTGCACGCAATCAAAGTTTTATAATTTTGTTAATAAAAATCTGGCAAAAGAATACGATACTGTGCAGACTTTTTACCGTTTACAAAGCATGCTCTAAGTGTTTTTATTTTTAAACAAACTTTATTGCCTGCTTCTTTAGAAATTCCTGACTTTGTATTTATATAACTTGGTAAATATATGTATACCATCCAGCATAGATAATGATTACTTTATTGTTTTGTTTTTAAATATTTTATCTTTTAGGCAGGTTGTAATTTCGGTGTAAAATGAATTATCGAACTTTCTCCGATATTCACTCAAAATAATTTTTAATAGTAATATTTCACCTAAATTGCCAGAATTCAGGATCGTATACCGTCATGTTCACATGTGATCTGCAGTAAGTATTTCCTCTCATATTTCCAATCCATACATCATATCCTTGATCTGCTAATAAAAAGGCTGCGAAAGAAGATTTTAATAAACTAGTGCATTATATGTAGGATGTACTAAATTTATATATTGTATATTTTTCCTAAAATTTTAAATCAATTTTTCATAATTAATGTTTTATAGCTTTTAAAACTTGATATTTTACTAAGTTTCTAATTTTATTTAAATTCATTTTCAATGAAAATATAATATTTTACTTTTCGCCATCTTCTTTGAAATCTAATTCATGTAAAAGTTGAAAAATCTTCAGTAATACGTGAAAGTTTATATTAAAATAAAATTAAATATTAAAAAATTTTGTGTATAATATAAGAAAAAAAACTTGACTAAAATTTAAAAAGACATATTACCCAAACAGCAATACGTTAATAATAATTGTTAAGTTATAAAATTCAAAGGCAAAATCTTTACAAAATGTTATACGGTATAATTGTTGCATGGCACTTTGCATTAATTGATTCGCACGTTACGTTAATAATTGCATGTTATCAGTTTAACTGCATACCGTAGACAGTAAGAATAGACCGAGCGTACAAGAGGATACTCTTGTAGGCAATGAAGATCAGAAAAGGATGAATAATAGATACCTTGTCGCTTTAATTCTTTATTCGCGTATGCGCAGTGAGGTATAGATGTGGTGCAACATGTATAAATATAATGTATGAACATGTGTACAAATTATCACACGCTCAATTGTCTCCCCACTCTTTTCTACATCCTCCCACTTTCTTCTCGATAGAGAGAGAAAGATGCACGGTATCTACTGTCAGTCTCTTTCTACTTGATCCTTAGATTCCAGGCCTCATGCCTTATGCCCGGTCTATTCTTACTATGTGTATACTACATACCAAGGTCTTTACTGGGACCGTACATGGCCCAGCTATCAGACGAAGCCAAAATACCATGTTGAATGAATACAATTTCTTTCTTATTCCTGCTATTAAACAATGGACTACCAGGTATCCTGTGTATCTTCAAATTATAACCATCTTCTGTTGTGACGTTATGCTCCTCAGCGGGATAATTATATTGTTCCACCAGACCAATCTACTTAAAAGAATAGCGTGACGTGTAACATCCACAGGATATCGTTGTTTCATGCCTATTTTTATCTCTATTCGTTCTAAATGTCAAAAAATACTTGTACAAAATTCAGAAACTGTAGGTTTAACAAGACAGTAAAATTGTACAATTTCATCTGTATTTATCATAGAGCTAACAGTTTTGATTTAATTCAGAATGCATGTAAATTTGATTAAAAACAATTTCTTACTCACGAAATCTAATACTTTTGCCTCGTTCATTTCCTCTGCTCGATCCATTCTTCTTACTCTTATTAAACCAGGATCCTTAGGAAATAGAAAATTTAGAAAATCGTATGGAAGAACTTGCGTTCTTCTTTCTGAGACATTTATAATAATTAAGAGCACAAGAAATATGAATCTGTATGAATTCATATCTACTGTCACCGAATCAACTCTTATTTGCAACTCGAAATTGCAAGGTAAATCGTATAAAAACCTTAACTGTCAGCAATATTACTTAAAATACTTTTCGTGAAACAGCTTGTGTCTGCAATCAGAAATAAGCATGATGAGTCGACAATAATTTGAAACCATTATTTTAACAATTTCTGTTGTAGAAATGATAAAGGTAATTAATATTAAAAAGTTCTACGCACACGCACACACACACACACACACACACACACACACACACATGTACTTGAAGATAATACTCGGTATATATGTATACATGCATTAGTAGATTTAAATTTTTATAAATTTTCCAATAGAAACAAGTTTCTATTCTAGTACATATAATTCAAAATAGAGTCAGATATGAATGAAATAAAATATAAGACGCAAAAATTTAATGGATGCACAATGTAATGTAATGTACCTAAAGTAATAGCGAAAATGGAAAGGGGAAAAGAGTAGATATGAATTGTATGTAAAATTTTATAAGTTTTAACGACCTACACTGGCCAATCGTCTTTATTTAAAAACCGTTACAACGTTTCGGCCCCGGGTTTGGGCCCTTATCAAGTAATCTGAAATCGCAGAATTACGGATTAACGCCAGAACAAGCCAAGAACATTAAACTGCTTCGCTATTCAATCTTTTGGCCAATGCCATTGCACAGTGACAAACTAGATAAAGACAAGAGAACGTCTTAATTCAACCACAAAATCAACAACGGGTAAATATAAACTTACATGGTCAAATGAATGTACAATTCTTTGTTCGAAGAAAAGTAAGGTTGATTAGAAGCACTTCATTGTCCGCGGATTCACGTCAGTGATTAATTAGGATTGATATAACACTGTCAAGAGCCGGACTTGTACTGAAGAGAGTTCACGTTAAACTTACCACATAAATAAGGTGTGAATTCGTATATAACTAGAAAATATAAATAACTATTCGTCTTTTGAGTTTACCTCCTTTTTACTTTATTTCGCAATATATATTTTTAAAGATAAGATCTGTGCATAACAAATTTCAAGTAAAGTAAATTCATCTTTTAATAAAATCTTTATGAATCTAGGCAGATCTTACATGAATAATAATAGATTCATGAATAATCTTCATAAATATTTCAAATATTCTAAAATTATGAAGTAACAAAATTTTCATAGAGAAAAATTACCCAGATAGCCAAGTATGATATAGCATATTGAGCGAACTAATGCATTGCATGTATTGTTAAATATTTGCTGTACACTTGCTGACATCAAATATATATATATATATATATAATATTTGTATAATAATTCTGTATAATATTTGTATAATATTTGTATAATAATTCTTTAAATTAAAAAGACAGACACATCTCTTACGTAACAGTAACGAAATAATTATATTAGAAAATAATTTCTAGCAATTATTTCGTTGCTTTTCCGTAAGGGAATAATTTAACTATTAGCTAATTACTAAGAGATCGGAAAAACCGACCCACAGAGTTTGTAGCTTTTTTTCTTTGTTCGCTATGATCTCAAAAACCACTTGACCGATTGAAATTTTGATAGATGTTTCTACAGCAATGTCATAGGCTGTATATTAACATCCTCACGCATCTGGAGGCTGCGCATACGCAGATAATATCGAACATCAATTGATCGATTTGATAGAATTTTTAACAAAGCTCTCCTTTGTTTATCGAGAGTATCATACGCTATGTCCTTGCTCATCTGGAGACTGCGCATGTTGTTGCATACCAATAGACCTATTCTATACATATTCAAATACAATTTTATACGCTTACGCATCCATTCTTCCTCTTTCTCTCTCTCCTCTCTCTCTCTCTCTCTCTCTCTCTCTCTCTCTCTCTCTCTCTCTCTCTCTCTCTCTCTCTCTCTCTCTCGTGCGCGTGCACATAAAAAAGGTATATCCGACTAACCTCCACATACCTTGAGTATGCAAACTCGGTGATGTTAATATAAAAATGAGGTACAGAAGCGAAAATACGCAAAAATGCTTTATTTCCGAAAAATAGGTTTGAAATACAAACACTGAAAATTAATAATTATAGGAAAGGGCACACGTGTGACAGCCACGCATGTGAGACCGCAGGCGAAACCTCGGGGGGGGGGGGGGCATCGTATTTTCAAAATACAGAGTTTCCAAATTTAAGAACAAAAACTAAAAATTTAAAAACTTTAAGAAAACGCTCAGAAATATTTTATTCAAATTTGGTGTGCACACATGTGGTATTAAAAATAATTTCCCGATTTACCAATGTTAACGATCTGTTCCCTAATAAAAAGTGAAGCTATTTGTACTTTTAATTTCAATTTTTTACTTCAACTCAAAAACGCTTAACCGTATAAAAAAAACACACAAGAGGCAGTGGATGTTGAATTTTAGTTCGGGACTTTAAAAACTTGTTAAATTTGGAAATAAATAGTGACGTACTGATGGCGTACTATTCTTTCATTAAAAAAGCAATATGATTATCTATACACACGTCCCCGGTAGACTTGAAAATATTTCACTGGTGCTGGTATAAATGGTTCTTAATACTATATGCATGTATACACATCAAATTTGAATAAAATATCTCTAAGTGTTTTATTAAATTTATGAAATTTTCATTCTTTTTCTCTTGACACTCTGTATTTTGAAAACAAAGCACTTTAGGACATACCCCAGCGAGAAATGTCGATCGAACAGTCAAATTGATGTCGCATCGACGTCAATTTGTCAATGTCGATGTCGATTCGACATCGTTTCGACGAATCATTTCTCACTGGGTACATTTATGAGACATTCTCGTCATAAAATAAGCCCAAAAAAATCTCCTTACATTTTTTACTTATTTATGCAATTACCTTATGTATAACAATGTGCGTCCGCTATTTAGGAACTACAAGTTAATACTAAAATATTATTTCTCGTATGGTATACTTAATAAAACTTACATACTTGTCAAGAAAATTGAAGAAGATGAGTGGCAACGTCTTTAGTACGTTTGACAAAGAATCCTTAAGTACATATACAGCAGCGATTTACATACTTATCACTGTCTACGTATATTCCGCGAAGACGCAAAAAGTAAAACATCTAGTATAAGAGACAATATAAAACTACGAGGAATCACCAGTTGCGGTTCTTGAAATATATATACTTAGTAACGTGCGCAGTGACGAAACTTGCAATTTTCGCCCATGCGTACAACTTTTTTTATTTTTTCTCTCATAGGTGCAGCCCATTTTATAACAGTCTGTTTTACATTAACTTTTTACATTAACGTTTCAAACTGATGAGTAGTTACAGTAAATATAAATAAAATATATATTTAAATATGTAAAATAATTTATTATATAAAAATAACAGCTATATTAGTACTTGGGAAAATTTTGGCAATTCTGAAGCCTATCTCATTTAATGGCCCATTATAAATTAAACTTCTTCATTTTTCGATCCTGTTTTGTTCAAATCATACGTATACTTATATAAATTTTGAAAAGCATTTTAATTTTCTTTTCTTTCACTTCTTATTCATTTAATAAAATACGACGAATTTTTAATGTTGCCAAAAAGTTTTTTTTATAGATTAATAAAAATAATAATAATAATAAACGTTACGTGCTGCAAACTTAGGTTTCCTCTTATCAAAAACTTGTATACAGATTTCTTGCTTTTCTTACAAGTTTATTCTGTGAATATTAAGAATTACCTTCTCTAGCTCCGTTACTATGCATATAGGATGAATTATTAAACTATAACGACTTTGGTTTTCAAGGTTGTGAATAAGACCTTGTTGATAATCTTGTAGAGTTTTTATAGGTTTAATCATTGACTTTTTTTACCGTCTAAGGAAGGTGACACTTCCGCATTAGAATAGTCAATACTGACGCAAGTAAAATAACAATTGTGGGACTTCAACTGATTACTGTTTGAGAATGATTAACTATGTTATGATAGACTTATGTGTTATGAGTATGACTATGCAAAATTAATCTAACACCGTCACGGTAGGGCGGGCTAAGACAGCGATGTTCAATAATTAATAACTCGTTAATAATTGCGAAAAGTGAAAAATGGTAGAGGACTTTTCAACTCAGTCTAATCCGCTCTATCCGTAAATAAGAGGTGAGGCGGGTATTACATAACACCATGTATAAATATGTAAAAAATATAGGTATCCATTAAAACAATAGTGATGACCTTTATAACTTGAAAAAGACATAAGTAAAAATGTTTTTTTACACGCTATATTAATTATGAACTAAAAACCATGCAAATTGTTCTTATTAAACATATTTCTTATAAGTACAATTAAATGCGAGATATTCGCCCAGATACTTCTAGCAGGACATCGTATAATAATTCATAAATGAACGTTCAAAAAATAATTTACATTAATAAATCACTTATTTGTTGAAAAATGTAAAAGTTAGATAGTTTTAAGACAGTTTATGAAAGAAATTGCTACATTTAATTCAAATATTACATTTTTTTTCAATTTTACAAACTTTATTTTTATTCGCACTCAATTCAGTATTTCGTGATAAATATAAGAAACAATTGAACCAAGTGACGTCCGTATGCAGTTAGTTTTCATTTTCCTAAAAAACTTTATATTTTTATATGTATAGACTTTCGAAATTACTGCATTTTTCAAGTTCTTAACTATCTATATTTTAAAATCTTGAAAAGTTATCTATAATAATTCTGGCTGAGGTAATATTTTTCAAGCTTGAAGCAACATTGAATTGTCCTCCCTCTCAGACATATTATAGTACAATATAACATTGGCGCCACATTGCGGTGCTTAACAGCGTAGCGCGTCCACTCACAAAAATTGAAGTAAAAAGTCCTGAGCAGAAATGTCAAAATATTGAATCCATTCTTGATAAAGTAGAAGATATAAGCTTTCTTTTGAGACGTTTGCGAATCATTTATCAAGTTTCGTTGAAAAGTTATACTCGACCAAAAACACCCAAAATAGCGTTTTTTGGAGGTTTTAACTGCTTATATCTTTGAGACTAGAGCCAATAAACAATTTTCACGAACATATTCGGATTCAGCACACCCAAATTAGTAAAGATTGACTGATTTCGTTTCCGAAGTAGAAAATGAGTCCTTTGTTGACCAGTGTTATTTATGATTTAAACCAATAAAATCTCAATATTGAATAAGTTTCATAATGTTCTATATTTAATCTTACTAACATAGGCTAATTTATAATTAGGCTAATTCTTAAAATTAATAATTTTATATTGGTAAATTGCCAATTTTTTAGCAATTCTATGATTATTTTAACATTTTATATAAAGAGACTAGGATTTCTTTCTATTTAATTTACATTCTATTTAATTTACCTTCCTCGATTAAATTTAAATTTCATACATTTATTTTAGTTAGTATCAAAGTTTTGTATTAGTTCCAACATACGGTCGTACAAAAGAGTTTTTACATCGTTTGCTATCAAATAATCAAAGTGCGTGAATAATTTAAATGGAACTTCCTCAATTAGAAGAACATTTGGCAAGCGTTTGCTAAGTTCTAGCAAGTTCTGAAAATCAGAAATATAAAAAGAAGATTAGTTAGTAGTAACAAGATGATTAAAAAATGTAAAATAGAAAATATATCATTCAATTAATATAAATCAATGACGTTTTTTCTTTTACGTTTTGCATGGAAATTCAATTAGATTCTTTCATATTTACATGATCGCTATTTTGTCAGATTTGTGCAAAAATTTTTCTTCTACATTTATTTATGAGTAAAAATTAAGTAAGAATTAATAATTTGACCGCTACATGGAGAAGTGTTACCTACCTCTTTGGGAACAAGCATATCATTTTCTGAGTAAAATAATATTATTGGAGCAGTAATGTTGTTGAGATCATAATTTGGGGGTATTTTCTGTTTGTATCGCTTATAATTTTCAGCCACGCCATAATCATACATTCGAAATTCATCTGCAACAATCAATAAAAATCGTATATCTATAAGTACGTGTCCAAAACTTAAAAGTTATTTGAAAATATTTGGAAAAGAATATTAAGTAATGACATGCATACAATTGTAAATCAATCTGTAGAAACTTATAAATTAATTTTGATCTTTCAAAGATATTTTAAATAGCAAGAAATGTTTTATTGTAATGTTGCATCAACTAGAATAATGCTTTATAAAAAAATACTGTTTTATGAAATGGAATACTCACTTATACCCATGCTTTGACACAAATGCTCTATTGTTTGTATAGAAGTACCAGCTGGAAAATAGGACAGGAGATCTGGCAGGGTTGTCTATAACAGAAATAAACTATATAGATAAAAAGTCGTGGCACGACCAATTATAAGAAGATAATAAGGAGTGGTTAGAGTAACATTAAATTTATATAATCACAAAAAATTAAAAATTTATAGATGATACAATATAAAATAAAGTGTTCACGTGCATTATAAACATTGTGTTATCTTTATCTCTTATGCGTTATGATATGACTTACAGTGTTAAGTTGTACTGGATCAGAACCGCTAACTAAGAATACTGCAGCGACACAAATACTTTGAGTTATTGCATTATCACTACATAACAATCTTGCTATCGTAACAGTCGCTAGAGATTGGGGTAAAAAATCGTATATTTCATGTTCCTGTAGAACTTCCTGGAAAGTGCAAAATAAACATACAATTATTACTTAATAATAGCTGACAATATTTTTAGCACCAAGCCGGTTTATCCAATCTCTTGATAAGTTAACAGTTATATTATATGTCTAGCTTCATCTGATTTAAAGAAAGAACAATGATATACATGTACATACAGCCAAGTGCTAATTAGCCCTCTATGAAAAAGATGATGTCCCCAACAATATCTAAGAGAAATATTTACAAAATATTGATTTTTATTTTAACATAAGTATAGGTCACGATTTTCTTATAATCTCATCACGTGATATATTCATAAATATTGTATGATGAGATTGATGAGAAAAATGTCATATCCTATACTTAGAGCTAGTAATGTTCCAAAACATTCTTTTGAGCTCTGTAATGTGTAATAATGGCAAAAAATACCAAACGTACAAAACTTATAACACATGTTAATTGTTGCAGTCAGTTTGTGATTATCACAAGTTTACAAGTAATGGCAATATGTGATTTCATACTTTTTCTCATTTGTATGTTAACTGGTGCTCACGACATGTATCATCACGGCATGACTACAAAACATAGATACGTCATATTTCCATCAATATCGTAAAATAATGATATGGTGAAACCTGATCATCAAAGCATTGCTATCTGGGTATTAGTTCATTTACATTTACCAAGAGGTTGGGACAACCGGTCGTAAATGATAGGTTTAATGTTGTATTTTAAACACTAGCACTTGCAATAAAAAATGGCAGATTTTGACAGTTACCTTCCATGTTAGAAAAATGTTCTTAAATTCTTTCATTGCAGGTGATACTTTCGTCCACAAATCAGCTGGAGCCAGACAAATAGCCATTTTTATTTTCCTATTGTACTCTGGTTTTAAGGACAAAAGAACGTGTAAAGTAGAGCCTCCCATTGAATGACCGATATAGTATAAATCTTTTTGCTTTGTATGATTTAATACGTAATTAAGCATGGCCGGCAGATCTTTTGTTCCAATCTCGTGAAAGCTATAAAATAACATCACATTATATGCCTATTACGATCATACTGGGTTTTAGTGTCTAATAATATTTTTGTACATATATGTATACATCTATTTTAAGTACATACTTCAGTGATTGAATTAATACACCCGTCCCAGTTAGTAGGGAGATTAAGGTCTGAATAATTTTTTGCATTAAATTATTTATAGATTATTTTCTAAAGGATGTTTAATTAGTGTCATTATAAAATTTATTGTCAATTTAAGTTGAGAAACTATTTGGACTTTAGTCTAATACTGTGTTTCAAAACCAAAAAAGTTATCGCAGTTATACCCACTATATTTAAAAACATATATATGCAATAATATTATTAGGCACTGAGATCCAACGTTATCATAATCTTTCTATTAAGTGATTTATGATATTACGGTTGAGTTTATGTATTATTATATAAATAAAGTTTATATTTTACCAAATATATTTTTCGCTGCCTTGCTACTTTTTGATAACAAATGCACAAAATTAATTTACAGTGAGAAAATGCGTCAAAAATAAAAGATAAAGAGCATGACCAAGAACATCCGTTATTATATTTTTCGCTCCTTTGACGTATCTCACAGATCGAATCGAATTGTTGTCTAAATGATAGCCAGCAATAATATATTAATCTGGGAAAAATTTTAACTTGAACATAAAAATGTGGTCTCAGAGATATAAAAGGTCAAAGTTGTCGAAATCGGTAATTTACGCCTTTATTACATACTCCTTAAAAAATTCTTAATTTTGTATTTATATTACCTGGTAAATAATAAATGTATCTCTACAAACAACTGTTATTACTTTATCGTTTTGCTTCACATAATAAATATCTCTCTTTTTCAGGCAGATTGTACTCTCATTGTAAAATGGACCTTTAAACTTGGTTCTATGTTCTATTAAAATAATTTTTAACAGTAATGGTTTTACCTATACTGCCAGAATTTGGGATCGTATACCGTCATATTCATATGTGATCTGCAATAACTATTTCCCCTTACATTTCCAATCCATACGTCATATCCACGATCTGCTAATAAATATGCTGAAACATAAGATAAAGTAAGCTTTTAAAATAATATCACCTGGTAAACACCAACCATAACATAATGTTACGCCTATATACTAAGACCACCCTTGAGCCGCATACACATAAAAAATGCGTGGAATTTTCTTGATAACGGGTTGTTGTCCAACGACTGTCTTTGTTTCTAAATGAAGCTATCAAATATCACGGATTGATAATTTTTAATTTACAAGATTTGAAGGTAAATCTTTTTCATAAAAACGTTTTGTAGTAAAATGTTACATTGTGCTTTGGGTGAATTAACCAGCACATTACGTTAAAAACTACATTTTGTCAGTAAATACATACCAAGGTCTTTACCAGGGCCCTGCAGTACCCAGCTATCAGATGAAGCCAAAAGACCGTGTTGGATGAACACAATTTCTTTTTTATTCTTGTTACCCAATAATGGACTTCCAGGTATTCTGTGTATTTTCAAATTGTAACCATCCTCAGTTGTAACATTATGTTCTTCAGCGGGATAACCATATTGTTCTACCAGACCAATCTAAAGAATAACAAAATGTATAATATCCATTGGATATCGTCATTTTATCTCTATTTTTATTTTAGAGTGGCTCCTGCACAAAGGGTGGTTAGTACAGATGTTTTGTTGGGGAACCCCTCTAATTTTTGTAAATTTATATGACTTTTTCATTTAGAAAATCACAATGCATTATTGATCAAATACATATGTATATTGATATGCTGGGTTATATAGGGTAATCCTGAAATAGTTGTTCAAAATCAGGGATTGAATTGGGTTTGTCATAAGGATTGAAAAAAGTTCCTATAAACTTTATTTAGTCCGTTATATATATGATATTATATAATAGTCATTTAACAATTAAAAGCTATTGACTCAACAATATAAGACAGTAAAGTTACATAGCTTAATCTACTAAAGATAAATTTAATTTAATTAAAAATACATATAAATTAGAGATTAAAAACAATTTCTTACTCACAAAATCCAATATTTTTCCATAGTCCATTTCTTCGGTTCGACCCATTTTCCTTACTCTCACTAAACCAGGATCCTTAGGAAAGAGAAAGTTTAAAAAACCATTTTGGACAGGTGGTTTGTTCTGCGATCTTCCTTCTGAGTATATTATAATAGTTATAAGCACCAAACATAAATATTTCATGTTTGATGTATTAATTCGTTTGAATCTTGAATTGCAAAATCAATCGTTAAGAAAAGCTTCAAGTAACGTCAATGTCACTTGAAATACTTTTCGTAAGACAACTTGAGCTCCTGTGCAGTCTGTAATAAAAAAATAATATATAATCAAAACGTATGTGCACTAACGCATTTTAATTTTTAGAAATATTCTAATAGAAATTATTAATATCAAGTTTTATATGAATAGGGGAACAGCGGCAACGTTGGGACTAGTTTTCAAAAATGGGAATTCTAAACTATTTTTGCTTATACAATAAAAACAAATGCCTTAGGCGAATTGATAATTTCCTTGAGTACATTTTTAGCGAAGAAATCATGCGATTTCATCAAATTCCAACAAAGTTATAGTCAATTTAGTAAAAGTCGAAAATATCCCAACTACCCACACATGCGGGTACGTTGGGATATTTTATTTTACATTACAAAAATGAAAAACATTGCACCTGTTTTGGCTAAAAACCCATGTTTATTGTCTGTAAATTGAAAAGAGAAGCAAGTGAAGTAAAACTGAGTTGAAAATATTAATCAGATTCGCAGTTGTGGCATATAAAGTACGATCTAGTCATATTCACGCATTTCAAGTGTACTTCGCGTTTACATTCAATGCAGGCAATGGAATTTTTCCCCTCGATAATTATTGCCTTAATAGCGGTTAATAATTGTGTTAACGTTGTAGTCAGTAATTCCTCGACTCGACTTTCTTTGATATTTACCTAATTAGGTAATCAGGTACTCTTAAAAACACCGACTAACAGCATAAATGTTAAATTTGCACGGTTTTCGCAATGTCCCAACCTGCCCACACCAATATGTCCCAACGTACCCGCTAGCACTGATTGTATGAGAAGCACGTGGGCTCAAGTACAATCGTACTTTTTCATCAACAAACAGTGTAAATCGATTGGTAGACGCACAATGTTGCTTACAAAGTCGAAATCCCGTTTTTATACATCAATTACACTTACCTATTAATGATGAAAATATCAGAAATATTATTTTGAAAACACAAAAATCGCACAATTTCTGTTTGTATTACACAACCAATCGCTAGCATCACATATACTACACTGAAAACGTCAGCGCGCTAAAACACACTCATTTTGGAAGATAAGCCGGCTCTACAATGACAATGTCACGCTC